TCTATCTATCTATCTATCTATCTATCTATCTATCTATCTATCTATCTATTTATCTATCTATCTATCCATTAATCCATCTTTCCATTCATCCATCCAGCCACCTTTAACCACTTCTTCCTTTTTGGGTCATGGGGGTCACTGGTGCCCATATCCAGCAGTTACTGTGGGAGAGGTGGGGTACACCCTGGCCAGGTCTCCAGTACATCACAAGGACACATGGAGACAAGCGAGACAAACAACCGTTCACTCTCTCACTAACAATTAGAAAAATTTAGAGTTACCAATCAGTCTAACATGCATGTTTTTGTCTGTGGGAGGGAACTGGAGTACCTGGAGAAAACCCATGCAGCACAGACAGAACATGCAAACTCACTCCAGAAAGCCCCCTGGCTGGGATTTGATCCGGTAACCTTCTCACTGAGAGGCAACAGCTCTACCAGCTGAGCCACCGTGCTGCTCAACTTTGTGTTTATTGTAACTTTTGACTATTCAGTCAAGTTGAAATGTTTGAACTCAAAGAATGTGATTATCACAAATGTTTTGTTTGTTTGTTAACACCGGTACTTCAGTGTTCCCCCTATCATGAGTGTGCCCCGTCCTGTCAACAGAACCGAGAGCATCACCTACCGAATTTGTTTTACACCCATAACTGCTGGTACTGACATAGCATTAAGCTAGCGGAGTGCAATCAAGATGTGCTAGCTAAAAAGCCACAGACAAAGCTGGTTTTTGTTACTTTTCTTTTTTTAGCCATCCCGTTTGTAAAAAAAAAAAAATCTGTATGCCTTTTTATAACTGTCTATTGTTGTCGCTGTTGTCCATTGTTGTCATCACTCTTTGTTGAAATCAGGTCTCTCTTGTACATGAGTCCTTGAGGCTCAATGGGATTTACCTGTTCCAGTTCCAGGAACTCGTCTTAAGCGCAGAGGGGACAGGGCATTCTCAGTAGCGGGACCAAGACTTTGGAATGAGTTACCCCCTTCCTCTCGGTTTTCAAGTCCCGTTTAAAAACCCACTACTATTCGGTAGCTTTCAACAACAAAAGATCTGTGTTTTGAACCTGTATGCTCCACACTGGTTAGTCGTCATTATCTGCATAGTTTTTATGTCTATATTTCTGATTTACTTCATTTTGTATTTTGCTTTGTGTGTTACCTGTTGTTCTGTCTGTACAACACTTTGGTTGGCCTTGTCACTGTTTAAAGTGCTCTATAAATAAAATGGTATGGTATTATATGGTATGGTATGGTAAATAAAGGTTGAATGAAGCACTCTGCTGCTCTCATGCATAACCCCCCTCAAATGCTGGCACAAATGCACAGGTGCACAACACAGATATGTCTCCGCTCCCCAAACTACCGTCGATAAAAATCTGTGAAGATATGAGCGCGCTGCCAAGGTAATTGACCTAGGGGAAACACTGCACTTGGTAGTGACTCGCCCAGTTGTTTCCTAACAGGGCTTTTCCATTTGGAGTGCTTTTTTCCACACACCTACTGCTCACACTCTCCTAAAAATGCAAAACAAACCAGAGTACCACATGCAGCTCATTCTATGTCTGGTGACATACTATTAAAAAGCAATAAAGCAATCCATAGCAGTTTCCGGACAAGCAAAGACCTTGTATAACATTTGAATTTGATTTGTGACCTTGGCCTTGGAGCTGTGGTGGTGAAAAGTGTATGAGACACTTATAGTAATGATGCATAAGGGTATAAAGTTTTGTTAAATTATCTTGACTAGATCAGAAGCTATGGGCCAGAAAAAAGAAAGCTTACGGACATACGGACAGCTAGAGACTGTATTATAATATGTATCGCTTTTGACGAGTGTATAAAAACAACCAGAACATCCGAGGGACAGTTTCTGCCCTTAAAGCTTATGTTGAAAGGACTAAAGTGTCACACATGCTCAGCTTTGTCAGAGTCAATGAAAAAAAAAGAAGAAATCTAAAGATCTCTGGCTAACAGGGTTGGTGGCAGCACATGTCTCTGCACCTGAAGCCTCTGTTTTGTTGGAGAGTTTTTCAATTGTGAGAATTTGGGTGAGTAAACAAACTCACCACATGTTTCAACTGTGTGGATATTGTCATTTTTTAAGCAAAATCACAAAACAGGCAACAGTCCGGACATAAACATCATGAAATGCTAACAGGACCACATTGTTAACAGGACCATGCTGCTAAGAGGACCATGCTGCTAACAGAACATCAATGCTAACAATATCATGCTGCTAACAGAACATCAATGCTAACAGTAACAGTGTTTTCAGAACATTACTGTTTTATTTTAATGGCTTTTTATTGTTATATATTGTTGTCTGTACTTTATATGTTGTCTGTCTTAAACAGGTCTCTCTTGAAAATGAGTCCTCATGATTCAATTAAATTAACCTCTATAAATAAAGGTTAAATAAAAAAATAAATAAAAAATAAAGCAGCAGATAAGATTGTCACTCATTCTTTGCTTTCTTTGCAATGAAACAGCTTGTTCTTGTACTAACACTTGTACTGTATTGATTAGTCCTGCATGAGTAAAGGATGAAATGAACAATTGTTGAGATGCACAAAATGCTGCAGCTTGGTCTTATGGGGGTAAGGGATTGAATATTAATAATAATAATGAATAATAATAATAATAATAAATAGGTGTTTTAGCTTAAAATGCCCACCCTTAATTTACTGACATCTTCTTTAAAGCCCCAGAAGGAAAACAACGCTGTTTCTAATCATCTCCATCTGATGAGATAAACCATTCATCATGTTTACATGTTCTTTTACTCCACATTCAAGACACAGTAAAACTGATGCTGCAGCTGCAGCATTAACCTTCTCATGACAGCGCGCAGGAAGCTGACGAGTTGTCAGCCCCCCTCAATTACAGCTGCTCATCAGTTGTTTTCACCCCTCGCATGGATCTTAATGATGGGATGGGATGAAATCAGTGATTCAGCTGCACGAAGGTACGCTGAAACAGAAAAGAGCTGATTTCTTTTCAGAGTT